GTGGGGAGGGGGCTCCCCAGGAGCGACTGCCCTTTCTTCTGGAAACTGTCCCTATTTTACCTTTGGGCTCCATTGCTTTTTTCACAACCAACCTATGAGGGGTGGGCTAGGGACTTAGAGCCTAGGCTGACCTCCCCCAGGCCATAGCAATTGGTTTAGAGAATGGTCATGTGACCAGACAGAGCCAATGGGATGCCCTGAGACCTCAGGCACTGGGAAGGGGGCACATCCCTCTGTAACTGGATCTGGAAGGAGGTAAGATCTGGAGTACGGTAGCCACCTTGTACAAAAAAAGTGTGGTGCTTGTTTGTGAACAGAGTCCATGTGGAGATGAGCAAAGCCAAGACAGAGAAAGAAATATGAGCCCTTGATCAAGTAGAAGCCTGGAGTTTGGTGACATGAACCAATACGTTCTCTTTTTGCTTAAACCTGTTAGGATTTGGTTATTGCCCCTTGCAACCAGAAGAGTCCTAACTGAAGAGCATCAGCAAACTCACCAGCCTGTGGCCACGAGAAGGAACTACCTGCACATGTATGAACATAAGATGATTGTAGGAGAAGGCAAGACAGAGTGCATGGATACCCAGTGGATTCAGATGCATTCTGGCTGCCTCAAGGGCCTCTGGGAATGACCTCTGGCCTTAGGTCCGCCCCTAACATCTGTAGGCCCAGGGACAGAGTACAAATGGAGGCCCATATACCATATGGCTAAATAGTTAAATGTTATAAGCTGACAAACTGTTACATAAAACATGCTCTGCCCCACCCCCAACTTGACAACATGCCTTCATCACAACCTGGAAAGTCAGGATAGAACATCCTGGGAAAGTGAGGATGGGGACTTATATGCAGTAATGTGGGGAGAGGTGGGCACCACCCCCATCCTGTCCCCTTCTGTTTGACACTTGCTCCCCCCTGTATCATAAGGGACTGTCACGCCTCTCCCATGTCACGCTTAGATAGGGTCTACAAGGGCGACCATGGCAGCATGGCTCCCTCTCTGTAGGGGCAGCTCAGGAAAGAGGCTCATGCAGGCTTCTGGGCAGGAAATTCAGGGTTCTGGACACTTGGAGTAAAGATGAAAGGGGCAGGGCACAGGGTCTTAATAGGCAAGTAAGTCCCCTTGGTCCCACTGACTCCTATTCTGGGAGGAGATGTCGACCAGAAGAAGGCGAGGGCAGCATCTCCAAAGCACAGGCCCTGGGAAAGGACCCTCTTGCCTGGCCTAAGGGTGGTACCAATGGGATACAGGGTAGTTTCAAATCAATGAGAATGTGTGATCTCTGAGTATTTTCCCTCTCCACTGATGTGCTCCTTCCTCCTTCACTGCTTCCTGGGAACAGGAGGTATTACTCTGGTATACAAAGTGTTTATTTTCCCTGAAAATATTTCCCCCTAAGAACACAAGAGAATGCTATTCATGGCTTACGTGAAAGACGCTGCACTCTGGGAGGTGGGCTGGTGATTGTTAGGAGTCTGCAGAACTATCTGGAACATGGGACAGGGCAACCCTGTATGGGAAGTAGTGGGGCCTGTACAGAGAGCATTTCCTGTGTCACCAAGACTCCTCTTGGCCAATGCCAAGTTCGGGAGAGGATGCACAGTGGGGCTCCTGGTGCCTTCCTGTGCTCCTATAGCTGTGGGACTGGAGGTCAAATCCCTGTTATTGTCACCCTAGAGTCAATACACTTTAGCAGCATTCTGTGTGGTGACTGTGTGAGAGACAAACTCCAGTGATAATAAATGCTTCAAAAATAGGAACTCTGGGTGTGTTGGTAAATTGTTCCTTTGTCCCAAGGAAGCCGATCCTTGACCTGTACTCACTGCCCATTCATACTGTTCTCCTGCTGTCTGGGTGTGCGGGTGTCTGCTCTCACCACTTAGTCCCCTTAAGAGCAGGTGCTGCCTGAGGGAAGAGACCATGTATGAGCCACGGAGTCTGGAAACCAACATGGAGGAGATGGTGACAGTGAGGAAGTGACAGCTATCCAGGTCTGGTCACTCCTTCTTGCCCAAGCCAGAGGTCATGGGAACCTGATGGAATCTGCAGGTTTCTCTAATGCTCTGCCTCCTGCCTCTGTTTTAAACCTTCTAGCTGTCCTCTGATATCCCTGGCTTCCATCCCATCATCTCCTGTCTCTACTCTTTCTCTTTTCCCTCAAGGACCTTCCGATTGATGACTTAGCCAAATGACTTGTGTGTCTCACTTCTTCTCACTACCACCTCCCAGAATCTGTGTTTTGGATTTCCCCTTTTGATCTAAGTCTCGAGGCAGGCAGGCAAATGCCGCCCTTTCACCCCCACCCTCATCCAGCTCAACCTCTTAGATCATGGCCCCCTGCAGGTCCAAGGTCTGGGTATCCCTGTTTGACTGAGGTAGGGGAGAGTAGACCAACCACAAATTATGATGATGTAGAGGATTGTAAGAGTGATCTTGAAGGAGAATGGATAGATTGGGGTATAGTTATAAAATGGATTTTGACATTGATTGTAGTGATAATGGTAAAGGTAACTGTAATGATAGTAATAACAGTGAAGACCATATCGTGGGGCTGTTGCTGATCCTGGTGATGCCATTAATGAGGGTGGAATTAACGGTAACAACGATGTTGTGACATAATGGTAGGATGATGATGGGATGGATGGTGATAAATATGTCAATGCCATGACAGTGACTGTGATGATGATGGTAGAAATAATCATGGCGATGTAAACATGGATAAGAAGGAAGGGGATAAAAATTTTGATGGTGTTGATAAGATTGGTGATGATGAAGATGTCAACGCCATGACTGTAACTGAAGATGATGATGGTAAGAAATGATGATGGTAATGTTAGTGAAGATGAGATTGTTGATGATAGAGATGCTGCTGTCATGGCAGCGATAGTGATGATGACAGTAGGGGTGGTGATGGAGGTGTTGAGGCTAAGAGTGGAGATGAAACCATTGTTGATGGTGATGACAGTAACTGTGCTGATGGTTCACTGGTGTTGACAGTGGTGTTGATGTGATGATGACCACACTGGGTTTCATTCTGCCAGAGATGTAGTGATTAGATCTCACTATTGGGTGGCAGGAGGCATCAGTTCTGCCTTTCACCTACTTCTCCTCCTTGGCCTTTCTTCACACCCCTTTTCTTGTTCCCTTCATGTTCTTTCCACCCTCTAATAATCTCCCAGTCTGGAAGAACACTGTTTTCTCCAAGGGACCATGGCAGGGGTTATAGCAGCAGCAGCAGCAGCAGCAGCAGCAGCAGCAGCAGCAGCTTTATTTCCAGATGTTTCCAGGGCAGCAGCCAACCCTTGTTCTGGCAGCCCTGAGCACACACTGCAGTAATTACATTATTTGTGGCTTCAATTTTAAATCCATTTTCTGGTCATTTTACAGTAACTCAATGGTTCACAGTCATTGCAGGAGTCCACAGTCTGAATGCACTCCCCCCTCCTCCTTTCCATGGCAATTGTAGTTATAGCAAAAATTATCCCAATCAATTTGTGTCTTAAAAGGAATTGAGCAGCCCAGAGAATAAGTGAAGGCAGAGGAGCCTGGGGAGTGCTGGGTCGATTCCAGGCCCGCTCCGGTCGGGCTCGGAAGAAAACACAGACGCTCTCTGGGTTGCAGGCTCAGGCGCCGCCTGGCAGTCACTTATCTTTTAATTCCCCACCAAACATCGAAAAATAAAGACAATAAGTGG